CCTCTTCGTCTATCCCCTTCCTCCTCATCTGTGCATGTTCTGGGCTGGCGCTGTCTTCCTGTGTGAAGCGCCAGACCCATTCACACTATGAAACGATGATGATGATGTATGTTTAAGGCTGCATTACAACATTGATTGTTCGGATCACTGGTATCTAAGTCTTCCGCTGTGCTATCTTATACTTTGTATTGAAAGGTCGGTTCTTGTTCTGGTCTGCACCTATACGGTATGCAACACCCATTCAGCCAGGTCAAACTCAAAATCTTGGAGTGGCGTTCCTGGTCCGTATGTTCTATAGGCGTTGTCTTCCACTAGCCGAATCTTCCTGAGGAGGGCCGGTTTGGCTGTGACTCGAGTCCGTGCTGTTTTGGTGACCGTGCTGACCGTGTGCCATGGCTGTTCAATATCGTGGATGGTCCACAGCCCCCAGTCTCCTGCCGGTCCTGTTGCTTTTACGTATGATGATGCCACCGTGGGTGTGACCTCCTAGTGCCACATTGCCCACTCCCCTGAAGTCCACCGGGGTGGGGCTTGTAATAGTGCAAGCCAATCCTGTGGGATTGCTTGCAGGAGAGCATCCAGATGCGATTGCAGGTTGTGGCTGCCTTGAGGATTTCTCTGAGCTCTGCACATGTCTTCCAGCAGTCGCAATGTGCCGCCCAAACCTCACGCCCAGCGCGGCTTCCTGATCGGAGTAGGATTGGGGCCCGGAAGTGTGAAAAGGGGTGTGCCAAGGATTTTAGGAAAGTGGGGGTGGAGTCCCAGGAGATCTCCTGTGGCAAGTTCCGGGGGTAAAAGCACAAGAGGCTGTGTGCAGGTCGTACTTGGCGCTTTATTTTTTTTAAGGAGGGAGGTAGGCCACCTCTCGTGTTTTTTGCATAGTAGGAGAGCCGCATATGTTGTGCACCATAAGGCAGATGGCACGTGCAATGCATCCCAGATTAAAGATCCCAGGGTATTCTTCCACAATCACAACACCGACAGATCTAAACTTTTGCATTCTCGAACAAAATCCCAACAACATTGCCCCTGCCGACGAACTCAATTTTCGTCCGCTTCAAAACCCGAAAATGGAAATCACCATCTCCTCTGGTTTCGCCTTCGCGGTTGGTCACGCAGTTCGACCGGCTGCGGTGCCGCTCGGCTTCGGTTCGGGCTCACTGAGCGTTTTTTGAGGTTCGATATGCCTGGTGCTGCCGACACTGTCCGCACGGTTTGCGGGGCCAATAGTGGGCTATGGAATTCCACGGCACCACCGTGAGCTGGTGATATGGAAGGAGGAGGTGAAAGGAAGGGAAGTTGGTGGTAATAACGACGAAGCCCGGGGATATGAAATATTGCATGTTATAAGTATCCGGGTAGTCGGGGCCCCTGGGATATTTAGTTACGGCACAGTGAAAGTCCCTTGCGCACAATCGGTCGTTCTCTGTCAAACAGGGGAATTCCGGATTTCTTAAGTTCTCCCGCCGTCTGAGTTTCTCATTTTCCCAGTATTCGCGATATTCCGGTCCCTCAGGCTCTCACGATCGGACATCCAAGAGGGAAATCCCGCAGCCATATCCGTTAGCAAGCTCAGTCCCCTATATCCTTATACGGAGTTAAGGCTGACTCACGCAGACGAACGCGTTCACGGCGACTCAGCTTTCTCGAGATCGCGGTCGTACGCGAGCGCGCACGTGAGAAACAGCGGAGTGGTTCAGTGTACCAATCGCGTTCGGCGTACATGCAAATATCCTACTCATGCTACGTCGGGTGAGATCTGGTCAGTTCATGCCATACATGTGACGAAAAGGAGGAAAGAGGGAGAAGGACAATCATCTTCTTGACGGTTGAAAGTTAACGATCAAACCCAAACATCCATAACGAGCGCTTTCAATCAGATCATAGCGTGCATCTCACGCAAGTGAATAGTAGACAGAGACGAAGCAGGCATCGCAAAACAAGATTGGAGATCCGAAAAGTCACTAAGGGAATTCACATTCATTCGATGCATACATACGGAGTGAAAATGACAAGGAAAATATGAGATGATTTACAAGGAGAAGTTAAAAAAAAAGGCCGCGATAAAATTGACCATATCCGGATCCAAAATTATACAGATGAACAAAGGAAGGAACCTCATCCCACGCCCACAATTGCTCTCTCTCTCTTTCTCTTTCTCTCTCTCTCTCTCTCTCTCTCTCTCTCTCTCTCTCTCTCTCT